TGGGACCCAACTCCTTCACCCTATGTAAAGCATATCCACCTCATCCAAATCTCAATCAAATGTTTTTTTTTTATTCACAAATAAATTTTTCATTCTATCACAACATATAAAAAAGTGTTAAATATGTTTTTAGTCCCTGAAGTTTCACTGATTTTTGGTTTTAATCCCTGCATGAAACATTGATGGCATTTAATCCTTATAATTTTGAAACTGTTATAAATTGTCCCTAATTTTAAACGGCGTTAATTTTTATTTGATGTGGCTAACGTCTAATGCCAAGTGTGATTTTATTCTCTCCACGTTTTCTTTTTTTTTATTCTAAATTTGCAATGAAGTCCCTAATTTCTACGATGTTTACACTTTAGCATTAACACTGCAATTAGGGTTCAGAAGGGGCAGCCATCTGACAGTACAGAAACACATAAGGGGAAACGCAGATCGCTGTCGAACCTCCAACGCAAGGTCGCCGCCACCTAGCCTCCATGTCGCCACAAAAACCTTAACCAACCACCTGCAAACTCCGAGCAGAAGCGCCACCGTCATCTCCTTCAAATTGTGCCGCCACCGTCGATAGAGAAAACCAGAGTCAACAGTGTCGCGTCGGCGTCTTTGCGGAGGTGAGCAGCCTGAGTCGCACCATTTCCGGCATTGATTTCAGCGACCCCGATTGGAAAACAAAGTTCCAGCAAGATTGGGAGGCTCGTTTCAGACTTCCCCATCTCACCGACATCTTCCCAGATGCTCCTCCCATTCCTTCCACCTTTTGTCTCAAAATGAAGTTGGTTGGTAGGTCTAGTTTTCTTTTCTTTACCCTTTGTTTGCTACTACGGAAACATTGCTCTGTCTGGGGTGAGGATTTTTATGCTTTTAAAATTCAACCAATAGAGAAAAGGAATGGGATTTTGGACAACGGGCCAAGGACAAGTTTCGGATTGCTGCATATTGTACTCCACCCCCATTGCCAGATATTATAACTGCCCTCAAACCGTATATGCCATAACTTCCAAGAAGTTTACCTTCAGTGTCCACCAATTCAGTTCTGGCTAATGGAAGGTTCCAGGTGAAGGCACAAAGTAGAAACAGAGAAAAGAAAAGAAAAGAATCAAAGTGCAAACATAGAAGAAATTAAGGGCTTCTGTGCAAATTTGGAATAAAAAGAAAACAAAATATGGCACATAATAAAT